GGCAGGGTAGGGGGCAAGGCTACCAGAGAAACTACTCTCCATTAGTGAGCGGCACGTGGGGAACAGTCAGCAGAGCCCTGGCCCGTCTGTTTTGAAGGAACGTCTTCCCTCATCCTTCCCTCGTTTCCCCGTCCCCGGCTGCACATGGCCTGTGTACACACTGTGTTCTCATACAGCAGACTGCAGACTGCCTTCTCGTTGCTGTCGGATGCCACTGCGTTTGGTTTCGACGCTTAGTGAACCCCAGTGACCGAGTTGAACTGCCTCAAGGAGCCATCTCTTTATGGGAATAGACTTCCAGGTCTTTCTCGCGTGGACCTGCTGGGTGGCTTTGAACCAACCTTGAGGTTAGCAGCCAAGCACGCTGCTGGTATACCACCAGGGCTCCTGACGGCTTCCTTAGCATCATCTAATGCAGGTGGGCTTGAGCAGACTGGCCGCTCTATGCTCTCCTGAACTGCTCTAAGCCTAAGCCTGGCTTGAACAGTGTTGCTGGCTGGGCGGGGATTTGCCACCCTGAGTCTCAGTGTACGCATTGGGAAGGCACTTCCCTAGACCCAAGGGTCTTGAATTGAGTACATGCCATTCACTTATAGACCCCTGAGGGCCTGTGACAGTTAGGCTTATTGTGCCAATGAGGCTTCCATAGGAGCATGTGGGCAGAGTTTAATCAGGTTGCAGCTTCACTGGAGGGAGACTGAGATAAATGCTTTCCACAACTGGCCTTCCTTCTCTCTTTCTCCCTTGTGATCAGACCAGTGTGCTGCTGCTTGAGCTGGTCCTTTGCCTCAACCGTGTGCTGCACTACCTGTGGGCTGAGCCAACCTGTGGCTCCTGGATCGTGTCACCTTGCCCAGCAGTGCTAGTGCTTGAGGCTCTTTGGAGACCTGCTTTTTGCCATGCTGCTGATAGATGGTGTTGCCAAGCATATAGAGCTAGAGCTGAGGCTTCATCAGGGCCGAGCACTACTGGCTGTTGCTGCCCCACCCTGCTGTCTGCTGCCTGCAGGCCGACTCTGCTTGTCTTGCATGAGGGCAGATTCTGTTGTCTGCTTCCTTGACCTTGGAGCAACAGCTGGAGTGAGTTGAAGGACCTTTGCTATATAAACTGTTCCATGAAAGTGAGTTGAACTGAGCCCTCTGTACTGCTGTCTGGGCTAATTAGCTGTTATATTCCTTCTCACTATAGAAGCGTATCATATATTTGTGCAATATTTATATGCAGACATATTTATATGCAATAATATAGATATATATAAAATCTTAAATGTCCTGGTTTTGTTTCTCTAGAGAACCTTGCCTAACACAAGCCCTTAAACTGGCTTTCTCTCCCAGGCCTCAAAGGGCCCTGCCTCTGTTGGGTAGCCAGATAGGGAGTTGTCCCTCTCTATGCCGAGGCACCCCTGCAGGAGGTAGATGCAGAGAATCAGGTGAACCCAGCCAGTCATAGGGGCTAGAGGGCATGCTTACATTCAGGCCCTGCGCCAGCAAGGGGAGGTACACCTAGGTGGGTGGTATACCTGGACTGGCCCCCATCTAGGCCAGGTAGGTTTGAGTCAACCAATGGAATCAAACAGTACCATCGGCCATGCCTCCCAATGGGGGAGGGGGGCAGTGTGGGGGGAGGGAGGTGGGGGGGGTGCCTGAAAAAGCCAGAAACTTTGAGACCACCCACTCGTTTGCAGCGCCTCTGATACAGTTCAGTGCAACTGTACCGCGGGCACTCTCGCACTCTCTCTGGTGTGTGTTCCATTTACTGTAACGCCTAAAACTGCTTCTATCCTTTATAAAAAACCCACTTGCACCACAAACCAGGCTTCGGAGTGAATTCTTTCTCTCGCGAAGCCAAAGACTGAGTTCTTTCTCACTAGAGAACACTAACACCTCCACAGTGGCACAGAAAGTACATTCAGATAAGGGCTAGCATGGCTTTGCTACAACTGCCCATGCACCAAGACAAAGCTAGGCAAACGCTTGGCTTCCAGAACTTTGCATCCAGTTGCTCAGAAAGCTGGAAAGATGTGACTTCTTGGCCTTTGGCTTTAGGAGCACAAGTCCTGGACACTGCAGGGATCTTCAAGGGGCATTATGGTCCAAAGGTGATATTTCCCTTCCTTCCACATTGACTTTGCCATCTCACCCCCAGCCATGTTACGGGGGCACTGCAGGACCTCTGCCAGCTGTGATGCAGCGGCACAATTCACAGGAGCCTGCTTTACCTCCTGCCCCCACAACACGATCCCTACGCGCTGAGCATTAAGGTAAACAGGCCTTCTATGGATTCCATTCCTGTTGCTTTAACACCACCTTCTTCTTACCCGCCGATTCCACTGCCCACCCGACCAGCCATGTGACCATTTAACTGCGAGACTAAAACTCTCACCGGGTCCTTTACCAGGTGGAGACGCCGGGTCAGTACACAAGTACCTGCAACACGGCATATGGAGTACAGAGGAGCACGATGATGTCTGTCCCCGAGAAGATCAACCTTCTGTAACGGACGGGTAAACACGCCACAGGAACCAAGTGACACTGTAATCTGAAAATCGTGTTAAGCAATCCATTTTAATCATGTAAGGCATTTGCAAATACAGTGGCGCAGGCCTGTCCTTTTGTAAGGCACGGGGTTCTGGAAGCCAGAAAATTGGTGCTTAAGGCGGGATACCACACATGTGAATTAATGTTGACCGTGCTCAAAACATGTTCCTCCACGGAGCCAGTGGGATCCACATGGAGAGGCTCACGTGGGCCTTTCCCATTTCCTCCATCACACTAGTTGCAAGAACAAAAGGGAGCCCGTCCACCTTCTGTTCCCCAATTTCTCTTCCTGGGCAGAGGGCAGCTCCGGGGTCCTGCTGTTTGGCCACAAAAAGGCAGCCCGATGCAGAGACAGGTCAACTTGCACACAAGTCCCCACTCAGAGGCTGTCCAGCTGAGGCCCTCAGATTGCACGGAGTCGCCCAGGACCTCCGGGAGGAGGTATTCAAGAGAGTGATACGTCTCTTACGTGCCACACTTCAAAACAGCCCTACCCTGTCTTTCCCTCTGAATGGAACAAGAAAAAGAACCAAATCCCTGTTCCCGCCCTTCCCTTCTGTAATGAGCTCTTCAAAGACAGCTCTTATCCAGAAACCAAGAGCAAATGAACTCTCTGAACAGCCCACACCTTTCCTCAATGACCTCTGGGGATTTGAAGAGCTCTCTTGGATCACACAAGTCCAGTCTGAGCCCTCCACAGTGTCCACTGTAGAACTGACCACTCTTCTCAACTACAGTTGCTGGGAGGACTCTGGGGCAGGTTGGAGCAAGGAAGGAAGAAGGCACAATGCACCCTTGTTCAAGGTTAAGATGAAGTGGGTCTGACTAGTCCTCATCATTGGTCTCCTCTCTCCCGCGGTCCCTGAGGGATGCTCGTCACTGACTCGAGAAGCTTTGCTCCTCCTGGGCAGGGTCTCATGGTGCTTTTTAAATTTCTCCAGGGTCCTAGCCCATCTGGGAGGCTGCAGGGTGAACTCACACAGGACACAGCGTCCACCCCTTTAGTCCAGCAGCAGAGACCAGGCAACACTGAGGTTCGGGGAGGGACCTTGATACTTGGTCACAAAAAGCTGCAACACCACTAAGGTGTTTAAGGGTCCTTTAATGGTCAAGATGCCCAATTCAGAATGATCTCCGCTCACAAGTTCCACCTGATAATGCAATTGTTACAAGAACAGAAGGGGGGGATGGTAACAATGCCCCCAGTTCTTTTCACTCGACTCCTCCTCTCAAGTGTATGTCAGAGGCAAAAGGAGGAGGAGGACAAGGAGGAGGAGGAAGGGGTCTGGTCCTATCTAAAGCCGCTGGACCAGAGCTATCAAAGCTGGCCAGGGGAAGGGAGTGGGGGCGGGGGGATGCCACCGAGAAGCCCAGCTGTTCCCTGAGTGCAGCCGGTGGCCTTCTCAGTCTTCAGGCACAAAGCACAGAGAGGAGGGTCCTCTCTTCAAACCTGGGGGCTGGGAAATGCCCTGGGGACGGCAACATTGGGTCAATTCCCTTTTCCCTGTCTTCTCAGCACATGGACCTGGGCAGTCTGAGAAGTTTGGGGTTCTGTGTCCTACAGTAGGGGAAGTGGATAAGTGTGTACCTCAGTGACACCCCCGGGGGGTTGGGCACAAAGTTCCACCACCACCGGGCTTTGAGCCATTCTACAAACTCGTTTTGGGTCCTTAAGGCTTCCTGGGTCAGGGGGAAGCCACACAGATTTAGCTGGAGCCCTTATTCTGGGGAGCCGGAAGAGGTGATGACCTTCTCTTGGGGCTCGTTTGGTTAAGGAAGACCTGCTAAAAGTCTTTTTAAAAAAATCCCCACTCAACATGCGAGGGCTAGAAAGAAAGGCTATACGCACCTAGGGAAGGGGATTCAGGAAGTGTTCTGAAAACTTCTGGATAGCATGTTTGGGGATGAAAGATACTGCGGTTTCCCCAGAACATGTACCCCGATGTCAACCACATGGAAAGCCACCTGATCAGAAGTCCTCCTGAACCCTTGCTGTGCGCCTCCCCCCCGCCCAACTTCCTTGCACCCAGCCACCTGCTGGAGGATCCGGAAGCCACGTTATCTCTACAGCAGCCCGGGGTGGGTGGGAACCACCACCAGTTTTGAGAGCCTATCTTTCGTAGGCAGGCAGAGGCCTGGAGCAGGAGGGGGTGCCACCAGTCTCATGGTGCCAAGAACCCACTTCTTTTTAGCAGCCTTCCCTGCTCCCACTTGGGGAGAGCCCATGGGTCATGCAACGGAGCCTTGCAGGCGGCTGCACCCATCCGGCCTAGGAGGTGTCAGGCTGCGCTTGACACTGAACCACACACGGGGAAGAAGGCTGGGACCGTCAGCCACACAGACGGGCAGAAGCCGCAGACACAGAGCCGCTACAGGGGGGACCTGGGACAGACGTGACAATGGCCCAGGACTCTGCTTCCGCCGAAGGTGCCAGGTTCACAGGACTTATCGTGGTGCCCTCACCAGACCCCTCCTCCTTCTCCTCCTCTTTCGTGGCTGCTGGAGGCTCCTGCATCTCCTCGGGGACAGCCTGAGGCCGGCTTGGGTAACTTCTGCTGCCTGAGACAGTCACGCGTGCGCGGGACCTCTCACCTGAGGTCTCTGGGTGCTGAACTGGTGTGGAGGTAGCTAGGCCCGGGAGGGAAATGTGGTCACCTGTGTCATCTTCCTCAAAGTCGTTAAGGCAGTACACTTCGTCCTGGTCGACATCCAGCGTCCGGAAGCCCTTGGTGACCACACCGGGCCGGGGATCCAGGATGCCCCCAAGGTGAGGCTGGGCCAGTTGCTGCCAGTGGTGGAGGGTGGCAGAGCCTTGCAGGAGGAAGGGCAGAGAAGGGAGCGTTAGAACGGGGCTCTACGATGATGGTCGTCTACCCACCCTCTGAGTGTTCAGAGCCCAGCCAGCCCGAGCTGAGTCTTCCAAGGGGACCCCAGGGGGGCCAGCCGTGGGGACCACGATGAGGCTGTAACCCATGTTCCACATGTGTCTGTCTGCAGGGGCGCCAGCTTAAGGAATCTGTATGTGATTTTCTTTCTTTTTTTTTTTTTTAAACTACTACAAAATAGTAGCGAACTATACTAAGTGATATAGTATATATATATATATATATATATATATAGTCCACTTTATTCTCCCAAACAGCCCATATTGGTAAAGGTTATGAAAAAACCCTTGCCTCCAAAAATCAACTTTTGGTAGCTGTATGTGATTTTCAAAGAGGAATGAGCACCTCTCTCCTGGGTGAGGATGCCTTTATTTTCTCCAACCAAAGTGAACCCCGAAATCTAAGACAAGCCATTCTGAAAACAGAAAATGGGGGGGAAAGCCTAGCAACGGCAGATGCAAAAAGCGAGGGGTACGGGTGCCGATTCCCTGCAGCACACCCGGAAACAGAGTCGACAGAAGTATTTTCGATCCAAGAGTCTACAGAAGGGTCCAGACAGGCAAACAAACAAAAACAACCTCACTGGCACGTTGTGAATGCTGACTCACAGCAACCCTCCAGGGCAGGGTAGAGACGTCCCGGGGAGTTTCTGAGACCATAGCTCTTCCTGGGAGTGGAAAGCCCCATCTTTCTCCCGTGGACTGCAGGCTCCGCCGCCAGAAAGGACGGGGGAGATATGGGGCAGAATGCCCAGTTCTTATGGAATTCAGAATCCAGGCTTTCTGGAGTCAAGGAGGCTGAGTGAACCCCTGGAATTATTGCCCCCCCCTAAATCACCTTTAAAGGTTAAACCAAAAATAGGGCCTCGGGTCTCCCGGAAATTAAAGCCCTAACTTAGCATACTTGGGAAGCCTGCTTAGCTTGAGACCTGCGCAGTCTCTGTGGATCTGATTGACAGCAGCAACGTGAAAGGTTAGAAGGGACGCTGGGGGGCGGGGGGGCAAGGGGGGCAATGGGCTCATGTTCACCAGGGAGTGGCCACTCGGGAAAGGAGGTGCGAACAAGCACAAGTGCATGGATGTCATCGTTATCGCCACACTACACAGAGACCTCTGTTGGGTTGGTGTGTTCTCAACAGGGCAGAAGGAGGCGATTTCGAAACAGCCTCTGAGCCCACAGCTCAGAGAAGAGCAAAGCCCCTCTCGACGAGCGGAGAGGATGAGCGGTGGGCGGAGCACGCCTTCTGGACTGGGGTTTTCTCTAGGGAGAGGGCTGGAGCTCTCGGGGTGACTTAAGAACCCGTAGGTCCACACAGAGGTTGGCAGTGGAGGGGACCATCTCGTCAGCGACACTTAGCCCAGCCCTGATCACGCCGTGCAGGGTCTGGAAGACCACCAGAGTCAGGCTAACCTGACTAGCATCCTGTGTCCCCTGAGGCCCTGGGGGTATCTCAGGTACTCCACACAGAGAGGCGTGCAAGGGTCACCTGGAAACCCGGGGAAAGGAGCATGCATGCAAGAGGAACCCAGGACCTTAGGTAAGCTGGCCTTCCCTGGGGTTCCGCCTGGCAGGGCGGCCCTGCTTCATCCCTAGGTTGTGAGAACAGGACGCTCTCGGCCCGCCGGCTGGGCGGTCACGCCCATGCTGCAGATGACGAGGTGGTCCACCCTCCCACGGCCGCACGAAGGATGGTTCCAAATCTCTCTGCAGAGGGAGCCGCTCTGGGTCCTTGGAAAGCAGAAACCCTCCCATCCCCGAGGGCCTCCCAGTTACCGGGGCTCCCCAAGAAGGATCCCTCCTTGTGGGTATCAGGAAGGGGAGCCGTGAAGGTCAGGGGCCATCAGTCAGCAGCCAGAGGGGAAACTGTAAAGACGGCAGGTGGTGGGCCAGGGCATGGCTGCAGAGAACCCATGTCCCTGAGTTCACCAACGCCACAGCCGGGCCGAGAAATCTCTCCACGGGACCCCGCAGCCGGGGAGTCATGAAGGCTTTGTAAGTGGGCATCGCAAATGGACTTGTTAAAAGGGAAAAAGCGTGCACACTGCCCACGCGTATTTAAAAGGCTTCTCATGCCCTGGTGGAGGTACGTGCCAGGAGTCCCTGTCAACAGTCATCTGCTGACCCTGAGCCTCCTGTAGAGAAGCAGGGAAACCTTCCCAATGGAAGAAGCAAGAGGCACGACGGCGAGTGGTGCAGAGGCCGGGCGTGGACGGATAAAATGAGCTTGTACAGATCAAACGCAGGCGGACGGATCAAGTGAGCGTGGATGGATTGGAGGCCCGGCCACCGCACACCTGTTTTCCAGGTGAGAAACCTGCAGAGTGGGGCTTCCTGACTGGCTGTGATTTTGGCCCCCTTCCTCTAAGGGGACACCTGACCATGCCTAGCGCCTGTGTGAGTTGCCACCTGGTGGGATGGGTGCTGCTGGCCCCAGACGCCACTGCCCGCCCCCTACAACGAATGAACAGGACTGTCCCTCATGTGAAAGCATCCTGACACACACACACACACACACACACACACACACAGACCTCAAGGTAACAGTTCTGGGGTTGAAAAGTCTTGCCCCGTAGCCTTGGAGAAGCTGAAGTAAGCCGTGGGCTCACCCCGCAAACAGTTCACGTACCCAGGGTGTCCCCGGTTCAGACCGCAGGACACGTGGGCGATGGGTAACCGCACTCACTCCTCAGAACCACCCTGGGGGGGCCTACAGACCAGGGCGTGGAGGGCCGGGAGGGTCAGACACTGATGGTGGCCATTCTTCCAGTGATTCAACACTGCCCAAGCCCTCCCAAATCCCACAGATCAGAGGACAGGAGAGGCCATCCGCAACCCTGGTGGGAACCTGGGTCAGGTGAGAGGAAGCTGTTGGCCCTCAGCTGCATGCATGGCCAGGTGGGTGTCCAGGCCCAGGAGACACACAGGCTTCTCTCTGGATGGGGCTTCCCACCCACCCCGTGCCCCACTCCCGGACCACGCGCCCACTGGCTGTGCTGACACTGGCCTGGTAACAAGACTGCATGGAAGAGATGCTATAGGGAAGCCACGTATGCCCAGGGTGGAGTGCACATCCAGTCTAAGAGGAAACCCTCGATACAATGTCCTGTCATCCCAACATGGGAGAAAGACGGCCAGGAAGAACAAGGGCTGGGAAAGGCCAGACCTCCCTGTTCTGCTACAGGAAGGATCTGAGCCCTGGCAACAGTCCTGCAGGCCTTAAACCCTTGTTTCCCACTGCCCCAAGGAATGACTGGGGTCCATTCCCCCCTCAAGGAAGGATTGGGGTCCCCATCTCCCTGCACTCCATGAATGGAATGGACCCCTTTTCCCCCCCCTCATGGATGGACTGGGACCCCCCACCCAATGGATGGACTGGGACCCTATCCCTCCTCCGCTCCATGGATGGACGGGACCCTCATCTCCCCCTCCCCATGGATGGCCTGAGATCCCATCTCCCCATTTCCCAAGGGTGGGCTTTCTAGATGGGTAGCAGATGTGCCATGTGAGCCCAGGAGGTACAAATGTCCCCAAGGCTGTGGGCCAGGAGACTGTCTTGGGAATAGTGTGGTGAGCGGTGTCATCCTTGTGCATCTTCATCCCGTTCCCTGGGCACCCGATTCTCACCTAAGACCCAGTTCACCTAGAGTGTGCACGTACATACTAAGTGCCCAAACACTCCATGTATTCCTGCACAGGCCTGTCGGGATAACTGTGATATTCCCGTTTTACAGACGAGCAAGCTGGGCAGAGCAAGGCAAAGGTACTCGCCAAAGGTAGCTCTGTCGAGGAGCAGCTGGCCGGGATAGAAATCTTGGTGGGCTTCAGTGCTCGTCCTCTTAACCATACGCGCTGCCCTCCCCAGTGCAGGGGGCCTCCCGTATGCGAGCCTCAGAAATCAGGGCACGCATCGCCACACAGGTGTGTCCATCCTGTCCGAAGTGATCATCCCTGGAAGCTTCCTCCAACCCGGCTGTGTCATTGAGTTCCGGTGGCCGCAGGCTGTCCCCACCCTGGCTGGGGACTCTGCCTCGCCTAGCAGCTGGGCAAAACATCTCACACACTTCTCTCCCTCTGCCACTACCTCTACTGTCTCATAGGTATTCTACCCTAAAGGCCTCACTCTGACGTGGGAGGGCCTATGGAAGCAGAACACACGGCTAACAAGCTCCCATGAGCCACTGCTTCCTTTGCCTCGAGACCAGAAGAATTGGATGATGCCCGACTACCACAAGACCTAACATTCTGAGACAAGACTCTATAAAAGACTCCTGAAATGCAGAACAGTCGTTCTAATTCTCACGCAGACGCCAGACGTTCTGAAGCCATGGAGAGTCGACAAGCCCGGTACCTGCCCTGCGTCATCTGTGAACCTCAAAGCAAACATTTTCCTGAAATCGTCTTAAACTCAAACAATCCTTTAGCTGAATGAGTAAAGACAAGCTGTCTGCCTTGACCATGGTGGCCCTCTTCAAGAACCCTCTGTATGGAATCAAATTGGCAGTAGCAACTCAAAAAGATTAGACAGAAACCTGAGGGAGCAATGCGTTTCGGTTCAGTGGGGAGGGAGAACTCAGGAAAGTGGCCGTACAACCCCAAGGACGTAATCAGTTGTCACTAAAAGGGACGTACGTGTAGAGATTGTTGAGTTGGGGTCCGGTTTCCTGTCTTGTCTCCACAGCAACCACCACCAAGACTCACGATCATAGCAGACGGGCCTCGTCAGAGCCTCGCCGTCTCCTTCCTATGTACTGCTCCCGCCCCACTTCTCCAGTGTGGGACACAGTCCGATTTCTCTCCACTGCCAGCCACCACTTCTTACTGCCACCGAGGCAACATCAAAACCCACCCGTTCCTTCCACCTCCATACCAAAAGTTGCTCGGCAGGCTAACTCACTCCAAACACACTGCCATCGAGTTGATTCTGACTCACAGTGACCCTATAGGACAGGGCAGAACCGGCCCTGCGGGTTTCCAAGGCTGTAATTCTTGTCATGTGAAGCAGGTGACGGTTTTGAACTGCTAACCCAGCAGTCTAATAATGCAGACACAACTGGTGGTGGGGCTTCTACGGGTAACTAACACAGTGGGGAAAGAGAGGGACATTTGTGTCCCGAGTTGACGCCAAGAGAAAGTACTGCATAACTTGGGTGTGGACAGCAGGGAAAGGTCAGTACAGCCACTGCCCCTTGGCCATTGCCTGTTGACCTGCCACCCCCGTGGCCCCCCACAAGCTGGTCACACACAGAGTCCATTTAAAATCAGAAAAGCTTCCAGGCTGTAAAAGTCAGAACTAGTCCTGCTGGAGAAGAGTTGAGATGTCTGAGTTTGTTTTCTGCATTCCATACGGACTCGTTTATCTGGAAATCCTATCTTGGTTACAACACACCAGGCAGGGAGGGCAAAACACAAGGGAGACTTGTGGTTGACCCGAGTCCTTATGACGGGTTTCTCTCGACTCGGAATGCTTTGTGTGGTTCTCACCTGCTTAAAACTGTTAAGTCGAAGGGACAAGAGTGCTACTTGCTTCAACACCTAGCCCAGCCACACCGGCTGACACCAGTCAAGAAGCAGACGGGACGGTTCATTCAACAGGACCGGACGCACAGATGGGGGACACAGATTGGCTATCTGCTGCAGTCCAACCCACTGTCTCTGGGGACCTCGCTCACAGCAGGTCCAGAGGCCACAGCAATCCTATCAGCTTCTTAGGGAGGCAAACAGGGGAGAGGGAGGGGAAAACCCAAGCCCCAATCTCAATGATGTGGAAATGCAGTCTGTTAGACCAGAGCTACTGGGAAGGGGCCAACGTGGAAGCCAGCAGCGTAAACAGCAACTGCTCGGTGCTAGCACAAGACAAAACACACCGCCACGTGCTTGCCTCGCAGGCACCTCGTGAGACAAGACGTGAGTCCCCCCACGGGGCTCAGCGAGGTGTGTGAACTTCTCCACTGTGACTGAGCCGGGCAGAACACCAAGCCCAACAGACTCCTCACAGACCATATGCCAAATATAGTCACATGCATGAACGGTGGAAGCGACTGTGTGTGCGAGCAAAACGCTCCTGCTTTTCCACTCGGGAGAGCCAGAGTGCTGCACCCGGAGAAAAGGGCACCTGTGGCCACAGGGGTGAGACGGGATTTCACCCCAAGAGGAGCAGGGTGCGGTCAGTACACCGAAGCTGTCCCTGCAAACCTACCGGGGTTTCTTGCTATTCACAAATGTCCTGCTTCCTGGGTCACAAGATTAACAGAGAGAGAGACAGACAGACAGAGAGATGTAAATCGGCAGAAACAAATGATGCAGATGGTGCTTGGACAACGAGCCCTAGAACCTGCTCTGGGATGATCTGACAGGGACGGAGCGTCAAAGCAGACAGGACGGAGATGGCAAATTCCAATGGGCTTGGAAAAACAGGAGGAGAAAGAAAAGGCAGAAAGTAAAATTGCAGAAATGGAAGATTTTATTGAAAAGGGGAGGGAAAAAACAAAACCAAAAAAACCCACAAAAACCAGACATAATTGTGGATGAGAACACAATCATCACAAAGCTTACAACTGAATAAACAGATCTTTTCAGAGTTGAGTGAGCCGGCCCTTTTCTGAAGCCTCAGAAGGACCTAAATTATACATTAACGCCAGTCCTGGAGGCAGCAGGAGAAACCTATCTATCCTGTCCCTCCCTTTGCAGTGAGTCTCGGGGGGGTTGCCTCCGCATAGCCTCACCCTGAAGCAGGCCTCCTCAGCACGACCGCTACTGCCCCCCTACGGGCAAAACTGAATCTCAGGGGAGGGGGTGCGACAATAATTATACTCTTTTACACGTAAAGCACAGATAGCCCTCTCTGTAAGAAGTCCCTTTAAGATTAACATTTCACAGGGGTGGCAATTAGGAAAATAAGGCCTCAAATGCTCCGTGGGGGTCGGGGAGGAAACTATTATTATTATTAAGGTTGAGGACCATTGCTCTAGACAGTGGTTCTCAACCTTGCTCAGGCCGCAACCCTTCAATACAGTTCCTCATGTGGTGGTGGCCTCCCAACCATACAATTATTTTCATTGCTACTTCATAGCTGTCATTCTGCAACTGTTATGAATCGGGCGACCCCTGTGAAAGGGTCGTTCAACCCCCAAAGGGGTCGCAACTCACAGGCTGAAAACCGCTGCTTTAGAGGAATTCTGACTTGGCTTTATGTCCGCAATTGCATGCGGAATCCTAAAATGCTTTCTCAGAAACTCACATGGGTCTCTCCATATTCAAGGAGAGAGAAAAAAAGCAAGCCTACTGGCAGTGTAATAACCAAAACAAATACTAAGCCAACCCTGCCACCCCCCAAACCTGCCCAAACCAGCTGCTATCAAGCTGGCTTCTCCTCATGGTGACCCCATGGCAGGGACCTCTCAGAAGAGATCTCACGCTTTTCTCAGGAGGCACCTCTGACCGGCTAACCTTTCAGGAAGGTCAGGGAAAGAGGATTTGACACTTCCTGCAGCAAAAGGTAAAAAGCAGAAAACACTGACCCCTCCAAAAGCCAACCAAGGTGAGTTCTTCCATGGGTTTAACACGATGGTGGTGGTGGGGGGGGGGGGGCGTGCGTCTGCTAACCTGAGGTGGGAACTACCCCAGGGAGAAAGGGCCCCCTGGCCCCTACGTGTAGGCATTTGGCAGCCTTGCTCAGAATTCTGCACAAACCCCCTCCCTCAGTGGGAGAGGGTCAGGCCAGATCTCAGAGCGGTCCGGTCACTTCTACACCGTCACTGGCAAAAAACACTGACTGCTCTACTACAATCCCTGCTTGGACACCAAACTAAATCTGGGAGGGGGCAAAGCGGGGTTCCTTCCTGTCTGGCCACAACGTGGACAACCGCTGCGGGTCCAGATGGGAAAGCATCGCAGCTGCGGGGACGCCAGAGTCCTCGTTCTTTGCTTCGGTTCGGCCCGCAGCCTGCTGTCTAGCCTGCTGTCTGGGGAGGGGTTTGAACCTGTAACCCCGGGCACTCAGTGGAACTCAAACCAGCAGCGGGGGTGGCTATCTCGGAAGAAGAAGGAGTAGGCCCGACAGGGGTTCCCCGCTTCCCGGTGGTGGATCAGGGCCCACAGGGAGTCGCCGATGAGGACGGAGAGGGGCCGCGGCCCCTTGTGATCACCTTCCAGGGGCTTCACGATCTGGAGTTTCTCGGGCAGGTAGGAGCGGCTGCTGAAGGACATGCTGGAGAAGCCTGTGAACTCGGAGAGGCGGGAGTGCGCGCCTAGGGACATGATGCTCTCGGTGGGCGTCAGCGAGCCGCTGAGCAGCTCGCCCTTCTCGGCCAGCTCCCGGAGCTTCCGCTCCTGCTCCTCCTGGAAGAAGCGCCGCTCCGACAGGTAGTTCTCCCGGCGCAGGGACAGCCTCCTCAGCGCCGTCTCCAGGTCGTGGGAGCCGGGCGTGCCCGGGGTGCCAGGCTTTCTATGGCTGTCCTCGGTCCTGGAAGGAGGGGAGGTGGGTTAGGGTGTGTGAGCTGGTGTGCCCACAGAGGCTCTGTGCACCTTATCTGGCGGCTGCTGGGTTTCTAAGGAACTCAGCGCAGGCCTTTAAAATCGGGGCCCAAACGGGGAGGCCACACACATGCTCCCCGCCAACACTCCCCCGAAAGAAACAGCTCTTGCTTGCAAATGCGACCTTGGAGGGAAGGCCCACTGGCTCATGGGGTGGGGATTTGTACCAGCAGACGCATCTCCAGGATGCCCTGGGGGCTCCAGCCCACACCACCAGGGCATCCAGGCGAGTGTCGCCCAGCGGGACCCCTGTGGTCTCCCAGTGCGTCTCAAAGCCACGTGTCCACAGACACCAGCACAAGAGGAAACTGGCGGAAGACTCCGTGTTCAGCGGCACTAGGAGAAGGCCCCAGAACATCACTAGCAAGCCTGGTCGACCTGGGCCCCAGAGGGGCGAAGCAGTTGGAAAAGTGGTGCTGGCAGATTTACCGGAGGCCACACACTGTGTGGCCCCGACTCTTGTGGCTGAGGGAGGAACAAACTATGGGGGCTCCAGGGCACAAGGGAGAGAAGATGAGGCCAGAGACAAGAGGGTTGGCAAGTGCTGACTTGGGAGAAAGGGCAGACGGAGGTCCGTAAGAGGGAGAAGAGGAATCATGGGGCTGGGTGGAACCCTGGGGGTGCTGAGGAGTGATTTGAACTCTTGCACGGTGAGTTAGTTAATTGTGCCAGCCTGGCCGATAATCACATGTGGTGCTGGTTGAAAGGCGGAGGGATAAATGGGTGGTGAAGCCTCGCCTTTCTAGTTCTCGGGTCTCTTGTTTTGTGATGGTTGTATTAGGTGCAGCTGCCTTAGCAGTTCCCTGCTTCAGATTGCAAGATGGACTTCCTACAAGACATCCCCAAGGAGAAGCCACATGGACCTATCCCGATGCAGCCCTGGGTGCTGGAGCAGCCGTGTGGAGACCCCTGCTAGTGCTGAGATGCTTGTTCGTTCACGGACTCAGCTTTCCTCCTGCAGTCAGCATCATTGCCTCTGTTTTGTGAGGTAGAGGACTTTGTGGACTGGTGTTGGGTTAATGGGTTAATGTTGGACTTGTGGGCTTGGGCAGCATTGGGTTGGGATGTTTTCGTGATGCACCTTTTCTTTACATAAAACTCTCTCTTATACATGAGTCGCTGTGGATTTGTTTCCCCAAAGTACCTAGACTATTACACACGGATACAGGATTGATGGTCTGAAACAAACCCCCACCTAATTCACAATGAAAAATTCATTTAAAAAAATTGGACATTCCCTTACAGAAGGGTCACAAGGAAGAGATGAATCAGTCAGGGTGCAGTGTAACAAATGTGAAACATACAACTTTCTTTGGGTTCTTTAATGCTTCCCCCCCACCCCCCACCCCCACTATCATGATCTCAATTCTACCTTACAAATCCGGCTGGACCAGAGCATGTACATGGATACAAATAAGAGCTCGTAACACAGGGAATCCAGGACAGATAAATCCCCAAGGACCAATAATGAGTGTAGTGATGCCAGAAGGGCAAGGGTAAGGTGGGGGAAAAAGGGGGAACCAATCACAAGGATCTACATATAACCCCCTCCCTGGAGGACAGACAACAAAAAAGTGGGTGAAGGGAGCCAGCGGTTGGTGTAAGACATGGGGTGGGGGAGGTTATAAATTATCAAGATTTCATGAGGAAGGGAGGGTGAGAGAGGGGGTAAATGAGGAGCTGATACCAAGGGCTCAAGTAGAAAAAATGTATTTTGAAACTGATGATGTCAAAAACCATATGTACAAATGGGCTGGACACAATGGATGGATGAATGGATTGTGAAAAGAGCTGTAAGAGCCCCCAATAACATGATTAAAATTTTTAAAACTTAAACTTATTTGGCCTACTGCCCCCTCTTCAGAGAAAAGCAAAACAAAATAAAAAACCTACTCAAACAAAAACAAAACATGGGCTCCCTGGAAATTAAAAAGCATTTGTACTATAGCCCAGAATCCAGGATCAAGTTTCAGGATCTGCTCTCGTGGCAGCATCCACCGGAGAGCAGGGGGGGAGAGGGGGGCGGCTTTCCCCGCTCTGGGAAACACTGCCTCCCCCTCTGACTCCCGACTCCCGTGAAAAGCCACTGCCTGGAAAGCACAGGAAGTCGGGGTGTGCCCGCCCTCAGTGAGCCTCAGCGCCCCCAGAGCATCTCCCTTGTGAATCTTCAGGAAGAAGCCTCTGGGAGACCATCCTGACCACAGCAGGGCGGTGGGTGCGCGGCACGCTTGCTTCAGATGTAAGGAGCTGAGGCCACAAAGAACCGAACCGGTTCTTCCAGTCTGAGGACAATGGGGCTCGGGGCAGACCACTGTTGGAGGGGTGGAGATGGGGTAGGTGCCACAGAGTTTCAGGATGGAGAGACTGACCCTTGGGGGACGTGGGGGGGGGGCACACATATGACAGGCCCTTGCTGGGGGGCTGGCTGTCCCTACCCATTTCCTGAAGCAAACCCCTAGGCCCGAGACAGAGAGCCCACGTCTCCACCAGGCCTCCCAAACATCCACGCATGAGAGGAAGATTAAGTCCCCCAAACGCACCTCTGGTATTTTACCCCAAAGCATACTTTCTGGTGTCCTCTTGTTCACTGCTATCAGCTGCCCTTGATGCCCACTCCTGGAGCAGAAGGGGCTCCACTGGGTTTCCCGTGACTGGGCTTCCAGCAGCGGGTCACCTGGCCTTCCTCCCGGGTGGGCTCAAACCACCCACCTATCAGTTATCAGCCGGGCACATACGTGTTGGCAATGCCCAGGACATGCCACGTGCTGTCTAGTCAGGCTTCTTCAAACTATTCCAGAGACTAAAATTCGGAGAAGCGTGTACGCTCGGTGGATTGATAACAACATGCCCGGAGGAGATGGAGGGCCTCTCTAGTCTCAGGGGTGAGATGCCTGTCAGCCTCCTTCCTGTGTTTAGGGGCATGCGTGGTCCCAGCCACACTCCCACTCATCCCCCACAACAGAAAGCAACAGAGCCCCCCCGCCCCCACCGCTCACGCACCCCAGGTCGGACGACTCTGCCTCGAGGATGATGCTGCTGGTCTTGTTGTCAAGGACGACGTTGCCCACGTCGCTGCCGTAGAAGCTGGACCGCGGGGTGCTCACGCAGCTGGACAGGAGGGAGTTCATGGCAGAGGACTGGTTGGAGCCGGGGATGTTCATGGGGGACGGGGTCAGGGACCTCTGCTTGACCACTTGGTTGATGTTTCGCACCGTCTCGAAGACGCGCTTCTGGTGGCTGGGGAGAATGCACAACAGCCCAGAATAAGCGGACGGAGCCGTGACCTGGGTCTTAAGCTCTCCCCATGGGCCCAGGGAGGCCGCTGACCCACCGGGGAGCCCCACGCAAACCCCCGCCTGGCACCAGCTCTCTGCAACCTCCCGTATGTGCCTCAGGGTCCTCACTGCTGTCTACTGCACAGGAGACACTCCGTAACCCCGGAAGCAGGGTCCCAAGGATAACCCGTGTCACATCTCTAAAGCTTGTCCTACAGGTAACAGTGCTCACATGCTACTTTGCCCCCAATTCATGAGCTGGCTGTCAGGTGACACCCAGCAGCCCTCGGCGGATGCCAGTGTAGAACTGCCCCCCAGGGTTCCAGAAACTGTAACCCAGGTCTTTGTCGTGGGGAGTGCTAGGTGAGCCCAAAGTGCCAAGCACATGATCAGTGGCTTGTGTGCTTAACTCTTGTGCCATCGGCGCCGCCTGTCACCAGCGAGTGCCCTCGCTTTACGAACAGCCACTAGAAAGCACGCTCCACAAGGCAGGGCCATTTGTCCATTATGTCCACACACGGCTGTCCAATGGATGGAATGTCCACTCTTCACACCCAGGGCCGCACGACAAGCCCTTACTCGGCCCACAAACTGCTGAGCCCCAGGTGCCACGTCTGTACGCGTGGAGGTGCCACGTGTGGAGGTGCCACCCCTGGGTGCTAGCTGGTACCCTGCCTTCTCAGGAGAAAAGGGTGGGCGCTTTTCCATAGCAGCTGCTTCCTTCTGGGACCCCCGGGGGAGTCTGACATGTGCACTGAAGCCTGTTCCCCTACAGGGCCCAGACAGGGAGGAGACACCGAAATCGGGCCCCTGGGTCCCTCGCACACACCTCGGGCAGGCCGAGCACCCGGTGTGAAGCCAGGAAGGGAGTTCCAGCTAAGGGAGGTGGGAAGGGCGTTGCTCTCCCTCCTAAGTTTCCTGGAACCTCACCACTCATCTTTAAAGCCTTCCAAACGGAATTGGGAGGGGCAGGTGTGTCTAGGGCCCTTGGTCTGGCCAGGGAAGGGCCCGGTCATCACTAGGTCTGACCAAGGCAGGGGTGGGGGGAAAAGGCCACACACTGCTCTTTGGGAAGCTTAGAATACAAAAGGCCGTACGTGACATCCGCAGACTCGGGGTCTTCCAACTGCAGCTCTTTCCGCATCGTCCCCTCGATCTCTGCCGCCAAGGAGTCCTGGGGAAAGCCGGGGACACACTCCATGTGAGCAGGAGGGCATTCAGAGGCCCCGTCTCCAGACAGAGGCCTGCCAGCCAGGCCGGCCACCGGTGGGTGCCTGGACGGGAGCTCACGAGGCCAGCGGGCTTCCCACACAGCCAGCTGCTGGCATGTTCCCTGGGCCAGAGGCCCCGGAGAGCTTCCGCATGGCTGGCCTGGCCACAGCGGGTAGCGAGCTAGGGACACTGAGCAGGAAACTCGAGACACAGGGGGCCAAGTGTCTGGGGCAAACCCGCATGGGGCCCTGTCCCTACAGCCACATCCAGGGGCAGTTCCCTGTCCTACGGGGTCGCATCAACAACGGGAGAGCAACAAGTGCTGGACCTTTATGGGAACCTATCACCTATCCTTTTCCTTTCTTTCCCTTCCTTCCCGTCTTTCCTGCAAACTCTCGCCAAATGGCCAGCCTCTGCGTCAGCAGCCGAGGCTTCCCCATGGCATCACGGGTGGGGTGGGGGGTGGGAGGTGGGAAGGGTGACGGCAGTTGAGCGAGCTTCAGTTGGGGAGCGGATCAGGGAGAAAGGTGAAGGCAGGCTGTTGGAGGTCAGAAAAAACAGCCTACTAGTGACATCCTGCAGGCATGGCAGCAGGTGTGTGTGTGTGGGGGGGTCACTTTACAGATCCTCCTGAATCCATCTCTTAGGGGCAGAGTAGAAGAGAGGAGTGGCGTTCAGGCTAGGATACGGCATCCGCTCATCTTCTGGGTTTAAGAACCCACCAGCGGCTGGGCTCCTGGGCCCTCAATTCAGATCCTAATCCCAGCTGCACTAGGGGGATGCTCACTACCAGGACTGGACTCGAGTGGCTGGAGCCACTGTCCCACTGAGAGGGTGGACAGTAGGCTGTTGGGAAGGATGTGTGCCCCCTCAACAAACACACACACATTCACTCACCATGGGAAACAGGCCCAGGGAGTGGTAGCGCCGGGCCGTGGTGTTGGGCATGGTCTTGTTCCTGAGGTTCTTGAGCTCCTCCTGCGCCTCCTGGAGCATCTCCATGCACTCTGCGTACTTGTCCTCCAGCTCCCGCAGCTGCAGGGGGACACGGGCCGTCAGCCGGATCCCTGGGCACCCAGGAGGGCGCCCCATGACCCAGAGGGGCACAAACAGAGACCACCCCCCTGCCTGGTGCATCCGGGCCCGATGCAGACACTCTCAAGGGCTTGCTTTGTCTTTGACTGGGGCAAGCTGGCTGTGTCCCCAGTGAACCCGGGCACCATGGCACAAAATGCCACCAGGTCCCACGTCACCCACCCCATGGGAACAGCATAGGGAATCTGTACCAACAGGAACGTGTTGGCAGAATTTCAGAAGCAGCTCACTGAGCCTTTTCCTCCCAGTCTGTTTGGTATCGGAGCAACATGCTAGCTAGCTAGCGTTCAAGGGTGGACAGGTGGTGGCTGTGTGTGGGGTATACTGACCAGCAATCAAACCACGGTCTTCTACAAGGAAGGCCAGAATTCTATCTGCTTCCACCCCTGACCCCACAGCCCCCCCCATTTGGGGCAAGCTTCCAGGCTCAGAAATTGCCCTGGGGAAGTGACATCAAAGATCTTTAAAAGAGAGAGAACGAGTGGACATCGCTAAGGCCCTAATCTCAAGTCTCCCAGGCCACATATTTGGCTGTGGCCTGTTCTGCATTGCCTTGTTTCACCTGTCTGAGTGTCTGCCAGGTGTCTGTGCAGACTAGCCTCCCAGAGCCCAAGCCTGCGTGACCACAGAGCCCAGACCCGGGAGCTGACCCCCACACGGGAACCCAGAGACATGCCAGTGCGCAGCCGTGGGTGGGTCCAATGGGCATGACCACGGCCTGTCAGAGGGAGGCAGGTGTGCTCAGCTGGGCTCAGAGGACCGAGGGGCTGAGGGAGAAGCACTGACCTCGGCCGTGAGCTGCCGTTGGGCGTCCTTGGCAGCCCCCAGGTGCTGCATGAGCTCTTCATTCTCCACGGCACACTAGGAGGGGCAGGGAGAGTCACAGTTAGCACCTAGTTAAGGCGGGAGGGGAGGGAGCCCTAGAACCCAGCTCATTTTCAAGGTATGGGACGGGGTTGGTGGGGGGGGGGGGGGGGGGGAGAATGTTCTAAAATTGATTGGGTACCGATGGGACAAGTCTTCTCGCTACGACTGAATAACTGATGGACTGATTATGTTCCAATAAAACTTTAAAAAAATTTTTAAAGGATTCAAAAACATAAGACCATCAGTCCAAAAATTCCTCAGTGAAGTACCCTGGCCAGGAGGCAACAACAACATTACACACCACCCTGAGGCCAGCGCAGGAGACAGTGCCCCACAGAAACCCACATGGAGCAAACGTCCCCAAACAAGGAACCGATGACTCGGGAAGAACCAAGAAACTGTACACGACACACAGACAGACACACGGACGGCAGCCCCGTCCACAATAACAAATACGGGCACATCCACCATTGCACCGAGTGTTCCTGGACTCAGCACACTAGGAGGAAACCCCCAGTGGCTGCCTGGAGCTCCCTGCTTTCGCTCGCACAGGACGGTCTCAGCACAAAGCGACAGCGGCCATTCTCGCTTCCCCTGGACGGAGTCCCCACCCTTCCCACGGCCACAGCGTCCCAAACCCATGCTCATGTTCCGTCGTCACCCTGCACCTGACTCCAGACAGGCTCTTGGGAAGGGTCCTGAGACAGGCTGGCAAAGGCCTGTCTGGGGCGTGCGACAGTGTCTGAGCTGTTTCCTCTTACGTGGAAAGGGACGCTGGGCCCTGGCTACTGTGTCAGACAGAACACTGTGGGGGAGAGGGGGTGTCCATTTATTCATTCCGGAAACTCTGTATCTGCCGCCGCTGCCTTAAGGAATCGTACGAAAGCTCAGATTATGCTTATGAGACAAGTGATGATAAACAGGACCCCTCGCCCATTCCGTTTCACACTGATGAATGCATGAGGCTCCTTTTGGTTCTCCGGGGAACCAGCACAATCCCCTACAGTACGAAGCTTCCCGAGGAAATGCCCCTTCCTCCCAAGCTCCAGACGGCACGAGGCTCCTGCCTGCGAGGCCCAGAAGGACGCCTCACCGCTTTGGCCTTCTTCTGCAAGTCCACGATTTGTGACAGCAGGTGCGTGATCTCCTCCTGCTGGCGGGCAGCATCCTCGGTCTTCTTGGCCAGCTCCTCGGAGATACTGGCAATCTGGACGTTGGCATCCCCTGTGGCGGAGAAGAACAGGGAAGAGTCAGACCGCCGCGGGAGCGTGCCCAGAGAGGAGGCTTCTTGGGGCTTTGTGTGATAAAAGCCCCCTTCCTGTGCGATCATGAGGTGTCCCCGGGTTCAGGTATCAAAATACCCCAACAAACAACCATATGATATTAATGAGGGGAGTTGGAATGGAGAACCAAAGCCCATCTGTAGACAATTGGATATCCCCCCACAGAGGGCTATAAGGAAGGGATGATTCAACCGGGATGCAGTATAGCACCGACGAACCACACATCATTCCTCTAGTTCCTTAATGCTTCCCCCACCCCCACTACCAAGGTCCAGTTCTACCTTACAAATCTGGCTAGACTGGAGAACACACATTGGTACAGATAAGAGCTCTTGGCACGTGAAATTAAGGACAGATAATCCCCTCAGGAACAGCTGTGAGAGCAGTGATACCATGAGGGTAGGGGGATGGCCGGGCTGGGGGAAGGGGGAGAAAGGGGAACCCATCCCAAAAAGGATATGAATAACAGACATGTGGATGAAGAGAGACAACAACAGACAGTGTAAGATACGAAGTAATGATAACAACAGATGATTGATCGAGGATTCATGAAGGTGGAATGGGGGGGCGGGGGAAAAAAGAGGAGCTGATACCAAGGGCTCAAGTAGAAAATGTTTGGAAATGATGATGGTAACCTATGTACAGCTATGCTTAATACAACTGATGCATGGAGTGTTATAGGAACTGTAAGTGTCCCCCCCAATAAAAATGATCTTTTTTAAAAAGAAGCGTCCCTTTCCTCATAAGACAGGGCTGGAGGGGGCCCAGGGTGGAGAGTGCATGTGGGTGAGGGTGGGGTTGGCACAAGTGTTTTTCGACCTTGGGAAGCAGAGGGCAATCCTCAGCACTCTGTGAGTCATGGGATGGGCATCGGCGGCCACACCCCACCAAGGTGTGAACCCCACACTCCACACACAGACTGGGGTGCACCCTGACCCTGAGAGGAGCCGCCAGGGGTGCACACATGCCATTCCCTGGGGTGTCGAGACCTCGGTCGTGGCTGTGACTCATTTCACTAGGTTTGCACAGGGGGGGGCTTGTCGCTTCACCAAGTGCTCTGCTGAAGTTAAAAACATCCCCTTTGCTCTTCTGCCTTATCTTATCTCGTCCATGGATGAAGGAGAGGCCAAGGAGGTGGGGAGCGATTCTTATTTGCAAAGGTGAGTGCCCTGGACTCAGCTTTCACAAACCAAGTTACTAGGAAGCAGTTTTCCCCACCTCTTCCAGATAAGTCTCTGCAGCCGGGCACAACGTTACGAAACAAAACACAACAGAAAACCAGTCCCGTTGCCAAGTTGATACCCCTTCCTGGCACCCGTACGGGACAGAGTCAGAACCACTCCATCGGGCTTCCATATCTATAGATTGCCGTGGAAGCCGACGGCCTCACCTTTCATTGAGGGAGAAGGGTTGGTGGGTTCAAACCTTTGCAGCTGAGCACTTAGGAACCAAACAGTTCCAATATTCGAAATGAAAACTAACATTAAAATCCGTCGTCCGTTTCAGAGGGAGATGGAGACGATTTCTGGCTGACCATCTAGCACCCAGTTTCTCATCATGAATCCGGATGGGTGGAAGATGCTACACAAGAATGGGGGTGGGGGGCTCTGGTTTTTAAGACGCTGCTCCTGAGTCACCAGCAGGCAGGGGACGGGAGTATCCCAGGTGATGCAAGCCTGCCCAGCTGGTGGCCGCTGAGCCTCTGAGTCGGCTCCTGACTCAGGCGACCCACGCACAGTGGGACGGGGCCTCTGTGACCCACGGGGCTTTCACGGGCTGACGTGACACTCAGAGCCAGGACTTTCTTCCTGATTCCTCTCAGTCTGGAAAACGTTGCTGAAACCTGTTCATCGTTCTACATGCAGACCAGCCGACCCAACAGGAGGTTGGTGGCTGCAGGGACGGCGAAGATTCTACCGCCTGCTGCCCTCCCTCTCTGCCCCACACAGCAGACCTGGGAAGGGG